TGAGAGGATTCACTGGAGTGATCCTAATGGATAAATACGGAATAGGTATCGTCAGTTCAATGCAGACTACAAGTACTTTGAAAGAGTGTGTTACCACCGATGACTACTTTCCATCAATACGTGGAGCTATTTTTATTGCTCGGCGTATTGTGTGTGTAACACATAGATGCATCTCACTTTAACTTTTTGTGGTATGTGAAAGGGGCCTTTTGCCTTTCTTGGTATGGGCTACCAAGTTTCAACTAGTGCAAAAATGTGTAAACACTTTTTCTTCTTTTTTTTCTGCTATTTTTTTCCTTTTTTTTTTTCATTTTTTGTATTTTTTTCTCATTTAAAGTTTTCTGGATTTTTTTAATAACTTTAAAAAGGAAATAATTTTATCGACTTTTAAAACAACTAAAGTTTTAAAGTGTCCCAAATAAATTGGTGTGGTTTATTGATGCATATCAAAATCCAGTTGCTCGGAACGTTTTTTTATTAGATTTAATTTTAGAGATGTAGGTAAATTTTTTAGTTTTTATTAGCGTTAATTGCTTTTTAGAAATAGGATTAGTATGCATTGTTTTTAGTTTAGTTGATCAATTATGTTTTATATGAGTTGGCTTAGGAAAATTGAGTTCTATTTTGTGGTCCATATTTTCTTAAGAAAGTAGAGTCGTTCATTTTTCTTTTGGAGTCTTGTTTTAAAAGCAAATTAGAGATGAGATCGTTTTTTGTTGGAGTGGGGATAGGAGGTCACGTTTAGGAAAGTGTGCTTATTTTCTAGGTGGTTGTTTATTTAGAAGTCTTTTTTTGGAGCCTTGTTTTAAAATAAAAAGAAAAGTACCTAGTTTTTTTCAGAGATATTAGTTGATACTTCCCTTTTTACAAGAACGTGGCCAATTTAGATGGATAGAAGGATCTAAGTCAGATTTTTTTTGGATTTGTTTTAGATTTATTTTAATTTTGGTTTTTTAGTAGTGCGGTATTTTAGGAGGTCTAGAATGAAGGAGGCTCATCCTTTTATCATAGGGACATGAGATAATGGAATAGCAAGGTATCTTCTTAGTTATGGAAAGAAAAAATTCCACTTTCTTTGTAAAGTGGCGTGGGTAGGACTTGTGTCATAGTATTTATTTGTTATCTCCTTCTAGTAGTTTGTTATCTTCTTTTAGTAGTTATCTTTAGGATTGTGAATGTAAACTCCTATAAAAAGAGCACGTGAATTGTAGTTGACGGGAATTGAATTTTATGAAATAAAGAAAGTGCTTTGCTGTAGAGAGACTTTTGTAGGTATTGCTTCTTCTCTTGTGTTTATGGGTATGTGTTTATGAGTTCGTGCCAGAATATTATTTGTATCCGTATCCATGCATTTTGTTCTTTCTTCTATTGATTCTCTTCTCGAATTTTCCTTTCTCTCTCTAAAATGTGATTATTTTTACCGGTGTTGTTTTGCCAAGAAATTTTTATATTGTCTTAGGTGGTATTAGAGAGTAGTCGATTCTTGTGCATCGTCGTGGTTGTTGATTGGCATCGTAGCTCGTGGTGTTTCCCTCATATTGATCTTCAAAACATTGCTATACCTTCTCGATTTTTCTTTTCTCTCTCTAAAATGTGGTTATTTTTGCTCGTGTTGTTTTGCCAAAATTTGTTATACTGTGTCAGGTGGTATTAGAGCATAGACAATTCTTGTTGCCAAGAAATTTTGTACTGTGTCAAGTGGTATCAGAGCGTAGTCGATTGTTGTGGATCGTGCTGTTCGTCGATCGCTATCATGGCTCGTGTTGTTTCCCTCACGTTGATTCTTGTGGATGGTGTTGTTCGTCGTTTGGTATCATGGCTCGTGTGGTTCCACTCACGTTGATCTTGCCATTGATATTAAGTTTTTTTTTAACAGTATTAGGTCATTGCCATTGATATTAAGTTGAAGAAAATTTGATCTTATCGTATTTTAAAACTTTAGGGATGAGTTCTCTCCAACCAGGGGAAAATGACGCAAATCAAAATTTGGATGCTATAAATTTTTAATTTTATTTTTGGTAATTTTATTTTTATAGGTTGTGTGGACTTTTTATTTTTATTTAATAAGACTAATTATTAAAAATAAAATTTTGGGGTTAGTTTGATAAGTCTTCTTTTTATAAGTCCATTTTTATGTATGGGTTAGATTTAGGAATGGTTCTCTTTTAGATGAGACTCATACTTTTAAGATCAACCTCAATTTAAGAAGAAAATGTTTTTTTTAGGAGGTAAAAACATTTAGATATAACTCTTTAGGGATGAAGAGATTGTTGATAAGTTTGCCTCAACTTAATATCAATGGCAATGTTTTGAAGATCAATGTGAGAGGAAGTTTTGATAAGGAAATGGTTACAAAGGACGAAAATATCTTTTCGTAGGAAGTTTGGAAGGGAATAGTTTTTGAAAAAAAAAAAGAAGCTTCATCTTTGGATTTATCTTGTAGAAAGGAAAAGTCCATTTAGAGAGAAAGTGGCATGGGAAAAAGTTGAGTCATAGTATTTTGTTTGTTATCTTCTTTTAGCAATCTTTAGGGTTTGTTATCTTCTTTTAGCAGTTATCTTGGTTTGTGAAAACAAACTCATTAAAAGGAGCACTTGAATTATAAACAGTGAGATTGAATTTTATGCATGGAAAAAAACAGTGAGATTGAATTTTATGAATGGAAAAAAAGTGATCTTTGAGCTCGTCTAAAGTAAGAGAGAAAGAGCCAAATAATGCATATCAAAATTTGGTTGCTACAAAATTTATTTGTTATTTTTATTAATTTTAATTTTAGAGATGTGGGTAGGTTTTTTATTTTTTTATTAGAGTTGATTGTTCTTTAGAAACAGGATTTGTATGATTTTTTTTAATTTAGTTGATGAAGTTTGTTTTTTATTTATTTGCTTAGGACGGAAGATTGAGTTCTATTTTGTGGTCCCTATTTTCTTAGGAAATAGAGTCGTTTTTTTTTTCTTTTGGAGTGCTTTTGGAAGGAGTGGGGATAGGAGGAAACGTTTAGGAAAGTGTCTTTATTTTCTAGGTGGTGATTTATTTAGGGAAGTCTTTTTTTTTAGCCTTGTTTTAAAATAAAAAGACAAGTACGGATTTTTGTAGAGATATTAGTTGGTACTTTGTAGGTTTTTTTTTTTTACAAGAAGGTGGCCTCTTTAGATGGATAGAAGCTTTTAAGAAAGATTGTTTTTGGATTTGTTTTAGATTTATTTTAATTTTAGTTATTTATTGGGGAGGTTTTTTAGGAAGTCTAGAATGAGAGTCGGTAAATA